CAGCCCTGCCAGCAAAGGAGGCAGGAAGAGCAGGGGCTCCCGAATCTGCTGACAGGCAGGTGATGGGAGCAGGGGCCATCTGTCTCCAGGACCCAGAGAGTGGCCGGACAGCACCGCTCCACTCAGCACCAGCCCCTCGGCAGCAACGATGCGTGCAACCATCACGGGAGGGACTGCCGCATGGAGGCCAGGCCAGGGAGGGAGCCTGCAACCTGGTGCCTGGGCTGCGGGGGAGCCGGGCCTCCAGCTGTGCATGGTGCCCCCATCGCAGCAAGGAAGCTGGCGTGGGTTTGCAGAGTGCTCGTGCGCTCACAGGCTGGTTGGCTCCAGCATTTTAGTGGTAGTGTCTATCGGGAGAGCTTCCTCCTAGGCAGTCCCCCCACTACAAAGACGCTTCCTGTGTCTAGCCATTTGCTCCCCCAGAGTTCAGGCTGTCCCACGTCCCCCATCCCCTATCTTCAGTCCCTCTGGAGAAGAACGACCCCTCTGCAGGTTGTCAGGCAAGGCCTCTCTCTCACAAGACTGAGATTACCCCTTCTGGGGCAGGCTGGCAGAGTGAGCTACAGATTTGAGGGGCTGGGCAGAGCAGTAAAGCTCCCCCAAGGTAAAATGAGCCCTGAACAGTCTCCAAGGCAGGCTGATGGAGCGCTGCAAGGTCACCGTTTCAGAGCGAGATCCCCAAGGAGACAACCTGGGATTGCTTTCCATAAAGGCCACGACTTACACACGCAAGTGACAGGCTAATGCAGGACCTCATGTTCTGGGCCTCTACGCATGCACCTCCCTTCCTAACAGGCAGCTGTCACTCCCTGGCATCCGCAACTCCCTCCCGAAGCTCTGGCTTGCTCAACCCTGCCTTGCATGGAGTCGCGCGAGAGGAGCCCCCAACAAATGCAACCATTTGGGACCGCTGCAAGGCACCAAATCCCAGGGTGCTGCTCTCCTACAGCTTTGCAGTGGAGGCCGTCAAAGAGGCAAATGCAAAGTAAGGATAATGAAGAAGGGAACCGTAAACAGAACGGAAAGTGTCATGATGTCCCTTTATAAACTGATGAAGCATCTACACCTTCAATCCTGCATCCAAAATGAGGCAGAAGAACGGAAAACAGTGCAGAAAAGGACAACAGGGATGCTGAGCTGCACAGAGGGGCTTCCCCAGGAGGAGACTACCAAGGCCAGGCCTGGGCAGCTTAGAAAAGAGATGCTGGAGGGGGAGCAGGAGAAGGGCTTACAATGCCCAAAGTGGCAAAGAGAAAGTCCCTAGGGATTTATTACTGACTGTCTCTCGCCATCAAAAAGGATGAGGGCTCACGCATGGACCAAGCAGGCTGGCAGTTTAATACTAACACCAGGAAGTTTTGTTTCCCCAGCGCGGCATTAAAGTGGGGGGACTTGCTGCCCTGAGGTGGTGGGAGCCGAGAGATCAGCCAGATTGACCAGGGCTTGGACATGTGCTGGGAGGAAAGGGGCATCGGTGGCTCTGTGGCAGGGAGTGAGGGGCACGGCCTCCGCACCAGCCCTGCCTGGACCTCAGTGCTGGGGGCTGTAGGGAGAGGAACAGGGGAAAACCCTGCTCGGCCCCAGTCACTCTCCCTTCCAGCCTCCGCTCTCTGCCACGGTTTGACACCCAGGACTAGACAAGATGGACCTGGGGTCTGACCCACTCCAGGCAGCTCATGTGTTCTTAAGTGGATGCCACCCTCCTGTCTCACTTAGGCTGGTTTCTGCATGGAGATTTTTGGGCTGCTTTGCGTATCACCATCACAACAGGTTTCGGTCCTCCTTGCTTCAGGTCTGTGGCTCTGACTCAACTGCATCCAAGTGAAGCCTCCCTGCCCTTCGACTCCGAGAGCTTCCAAACTAGGTAGGGTCAGGTTACTGCTCTGGGCCCTGTCCAGACTGACCTCTTCCTCCTACAATTTTCTACCCTCCTTACAGTCTGTGGGACTCCACCGCTACTGGCGATTGCGCGGGCACTAACGGAGACCAACTCTCAACATATAAGCAAATGGCACGTTGTCCACAGAGGACACTATGGTGAGACCACAGGCAGTGGACACACTGCCATGTCTGCAGCTTCTACTCCTTGTGGAGTCCAGCCAGGAGATGAAACAATATCGTGCTGCTGTGTCAATGCAAGACCACTCGTGGTTTGCATATGCTAGTGCGACTCCAGTGCAAGACGAAGGAGGAGCCGAGCGGCTGCAACCCGACTGCCAGCGTGGTCAGGAATGTTTCTGTGCGCAGAATCAAGAGGCGAAGGGATTCCTGGCTGAGTCTAGCACAGCTGATGGGTTTTCCCTGTGTGACAGCCCCTTTGCTCCCTCTTCCATGATGGTGGAAAATCCATTAAGGCGACTCACATGCTCTGCTCAGGACAGCAGCCTATCAATCAGAAAACCCTGTGCACAAGCGCACCTGCAACACACGAGCGTCCTGTATGCCAGGAGCCGCACCCCACAGGCCCTCCCATCCGTACAGAGCAGACAACGGGCGGGCAAGCACAGGGGCAAGGTGCAAAGCAGGGTGCAGAAGAGAACTGGCTCCAACTCTTCATCAGCTGCTGTTGTGCCACCACCAACTTACGTCTGCGCTAAAGCAAGAGCATGGCTGGAGAGGGGCCAGGCAACCGAGAGCATGGCTGGTAGGAGAAGACTGCTATTCAAGACGACGTCCCTTCGGCTTTACCCCAGCCTCCTCGCTCACGCCCATTCTCTTATGCCAGCCGGGCAAACCAAGGCAGCACAAATGGATTGCAATGCAAAGGGCTTCATCTGGTGCTTAACGTAGCTCAAGCTGAGACAAGATAACCCTGCAGTGTCGACAACACCAGCTCATGCATGTAACTGCACGTGCAGCTGGAGTGCAATAACCAAGGTGAATCCAGCAGGAAGCCAGCCTTGGCTTTTGGATGGACATAACTTGGCTTATAAAGGTTACTAGCAAGCCTCAGTACATTACTGAGGTTGTTTTCAGCTCACAGAGCCAGAGAATCCCAGATCTCCTGAGGACCCCATGCCTCCAACCCTCTGCTCAAGGCAGGAGCAGCCCGGGCCTAAACCATTACAGACGAGCCCTTGTTTAACCCATGCTTAAACACGTCCAAGAATGGAGACTGCACAGCTTGTGTGCCTGTTCCAGCGCTGAACCTCCCAAAATACTTCCAAATAGCTAACCTAAATCCCCCTTGCTGCAGTTTGATAACATTGGTCCCTGTGGCCACAGACAACAGTCCATCATCATCCTCTATATAACCACCCTTCAGGTATTTGAAGACTTATCAAAACAACCCCCTTCAGTCTTCTCTTTTCCAGACTAAACACCCCCAGTCCTATCAGCCTTGCTCCCAGGCTTCGTTTTCATCACTCTCCGTGTTACTTTTTCCAATCTGCCTACATCCTGCTTGCAGTGTGGGACCAAAACTGGACCCTCCCAGGACTCTAAATAAGGCCTCACCAGCATTAAACAGAGAAGAAGGATCATTCCCTTTAACATCCAGTGACAATTCTGTTAATACAGCCCAGTATAATATTGCCTTTTTTTGCAACAAAAGCACACTGGGACCCACTACAAACCCCCCCAGGTCCTTCTCTGCAGTACCACAGCCCAGCCAATCATCCTCCCACTCTATCTCTGTGCGTACGACTTCTACCCCAAGTGCAGGACTCTGCACTTATCCTTACTGGACTTCATTCAATTAATTCTGGACCATTTCTCCAGTTCATCAAGTTCATTCTGAATCTTAACCCTGCCCTCAGGAGCATTTGCACCTCCACCCAACTTGGGTGTCATCTGCAGATTTGCTAAGAGTGCACTTGATCCCACCCTTCAGTTTAATTAACAAAAATGTTAAACAATACTAGACCCAGGACAGATTCTCAGGAACCCCACTTGATACCACTTTCCAATGAGGCCACTGGTAACTACTTTGTGCAGGATGCTCCAACCAGTTACATATCCACCTTAGAGTAGATCCATCCCGACTACACTTCCTTAGCTTGCTGATAAGAGTGTCATGGGAGACAGTGTCAAAACCCTTGCCAAAAATAAAGCTGTATTGGATCCACTGCTATCCCCCTACCTACAGCCTGTTCACCTTGCCATAGAAGGAAACCAGGTTGGTCAGGCATGACTTGCTCTCATTACACTGCATGCTTCAGGGTTTAAACCAAGACACAAGGTGTTAGAAGACAAAAGGCATAAATTATCCCACATCTGCCTGCTGAGCAACTTGTATACCTTCCTCAGAAACAACTGGTACCAGATAGTGCTAGAGGCAGGAGACAGAGCAGAAGGGACTGTCTCTTCTCTGCTCTGACAAGACCTAATGCTTGTACTTAGAAATGGTTTGGTACAGACAGGCTTTAACACTCCAGCAAATACTGAATATGTCAGTGTTTAAAGTGCAAGTTACTGTCCTGGTCTAGACACGGCCTCTTCCTGCAACCTGGGGACTAGGTCAGCTGCTTATGAGGGTTTCCAGGGCGGGGGGAGCATCACTCTGGAAATGAAAACTGAGCTACAAGCCCTTCTGCTATTAACACATAAACCTCATCACAGCTTCCTACAGCTTTACACTGCAGGAGCCGCACATCTAGAGCCCTCATGTCAGAACTGCAGTTTGATCTTACTGCTTTCTGAACCTGGCTGAAGCACCTGTGTGTAATTAAACATGCAGCAAATGCCATAAATGAGGCACATCCCCAACAGCATGATCCGCCTGCATGAGCTGTGCCTCATAGTTTAGACATACGCACCACATTAGCTTTTCCCTCCTCAACACTGCGACGCTTCCAACCCTAAAGGACCAAGGAACCATCCAAACTGGCAGACACTTTCACATCTTGGGCTATAAACCACTTTTAAGGAAGGGTGGGAAGACTATTAATTTTCTAGCCTTGGACTCCTTTTTTCAGGAGAAGTCACATTTTGTGGCAGGAACCAGGACACAGCTACACAACACCAGCATTATGCTGTGGGGTCTGAAACTTCGCACTTACCCGCATCTTTTCCGAGTGCGAAACATCTTTCACTTTCTTTTCAACACACTGGTCATTGGCATCTTCCTCCTCCTCCTCCGTGCTGCTGTCACTGCCAGAATCCTCCAGCCCAGAATAAACGCTCTCCTCGCTGTCTGTCACGTCATCGCTTTCCCAGTCTTGCTCCTCTGCTGCTGCAGCACTGGGAAGGGGCAGCTGAAAGGACACCGGAAGCATCACAGCACAGGTCTACCAACAGCAGTTCAAGCTGTATGTTAAAGAGACAGTATCTGCGCAGCTCGCTTCAGTCTAAGGCCCTGCTGCACCGGCACAGCTATGCCAGCCATACCCTCTGGCAGGGGAACAGTTACACCTGCATCAGCTTTGTGTGGCCAGGGTCAGTTCTAACAGAAACCTGCCCGCTGCTGCCTATTTGCTGAACAGAGGTAGTATAATCCCTATGAGTGGGCCTAGCCCTCCTACTTACTGCTTCTTACAAACCTCTGCCCCCAAAGAGTCCCTTCACGGATGGTAAAGAAGTTCTTTATCATCACAACCGACTTCCTTGCTTATACAGGACCCCAGGGGACCTGCTGCCAAGTATGCAAGGGTGAAACTGGGGCGCGGGAGAAAGTCCAAGCAGCGCTGGGTTTGGGGATATTAGAACTGCCGGCTGGTCTTGCTCAGACCAGAAGCATCAGGGCTGGTTTCCTCTGCAGCCTTGATTCACATCGAATACTTCAGGTATTACTGAGCCGGGTAGGCAGCGCACACCCTCTGCATAGTGGCATCAGCACACGTGGGCTCCCGTTCGATGCTACACACCTTCTGTGGTGAAAAATCAGCCTCACTAAAGGTACTGAGCTCATTCCATTGCACATGTTATAACTGCCTTCCTTCGAAAGGGAATTTTTCACGGGAGCCGTGAACAGACAGTAAAGGTTTTAATCCCAAATTTTTATCTTATTTTGTTGATCCTCCAGTTATAGGTCAGATAACCTCTGCCTGTACCCCGCTCTGCTACGGCTGCGTTAGTCTGGAGTCAGGCAGCAGGCAGGGCTGGGGGGTACCCGAGAGACCTCGGGGAGGCACGAGCTCTCCGGGCCGTCGGCGCGCTCACCCCCGGGGCGGGAAGAGGCACAGAAGCTCCGGGAGGGGCAGACCTGACCAGGCTGCACCGAATTCCCCGCGTGAATGCTCGCTACACGCGCCCGTCGTTTAGGGAGGAGGTGGCTAGTCTGTGGCACGGGGGTCACAAACGGCATGCGGCAGACTGGGGAGGGACAGGCAGCGCAGGGACACACCGGGCAAGGGACAGAAAGCAGAGCAGCAGGGAGCAAAAAGCAGAGGAGTGGAGACATGGAAAAGAAAGCAGAGCGGCAGATCAGGCAGACCGCACGGGACGGAGACCAGAAAGCAAACCGTCAAATTGGGCAGGGAGCAGAAAGCAGAGTGGCAGACCATGTAGGGAGCACAGCAGGGAGCAGAAGGCGGAGCAGCAGATCAGACAGGCAGCTGCGGGGGGGGGGGTGTGAGTGGAAAGTGGAGCAGCAGACCATACAAGAAGCAGGAGGCTGGGAACTGAAGGCGGAGCAGCAGATCAGACAGACAGTCGGGCAGACCACAGGGGTGGGAAGCACAGCAGGGAGCAGAAAGCAGAGCAGCAGACCACACAGGGTGCACGAGGCAGGGAGCAGAAAGCGGTGTGGCAGATCAGATCAGACAGACAGGGGAGGGGGCGGAAAACGGAGCGGCAGACCAGGGGGGGGGGAGCACAGCAGGGAGCGGGAAGCAGAGCGGCAGCCCGCACAGGGTGCATGAGGCAGGGAGCAGAAAGCGGAGCTGCAGTCGGAGCAGGGCGTGGTCACTTGCGGCCCCTTCCAGCCCCCACGCGTGCCCCGGCCCGCGCCCCCACCTGCTCCATGGCTCCTTCCGGCCGCCGCTCCCCGTGCACACCCCGGCGC